GGAATGTGGTGTCTGGGGTTGGGAATGTGGTGCCAGGATGGGAATGTGGTACCAGGATGGGAATGTGGTGCCGGGGATGGGAAAGCGGTGCTGGGATGAGAACATGGTGCTGGTGTTGGGAATATGGTGCTGGGATGGGAACATGGTGCCAGGGATGGTTGGGAATGTGGTGCTGGGATGGGAATGTGGTGTTGGGATAGGAAAGTGGTGCTGGGGTGAAAATGTGGTGTTGGGATGGGAATGTGGTGCCAGGATGGGAACGTGGTGTTGGGGATGGGAACATGGTGCCAGGGTGGAAAGATGGTGCTGGAGTGGGAATGTGGGTTTGGGGTTGGGAAATTAGTGCCGGGGGTTGGGAAAATGGTGCCGGGGTGGGAATGTGGTGCCTGGGGATGGTTGGGAATATGGTGCTGGGTTGGGAATGTGGTGTTTGGGTTGGGAATGTGGTACCAGGGGCTGGAAACATGGTGCCAGGGGATGGGAAAGTGGTGCTGGGGTGGGAGAGTGATGCTTGGGGATGGGAATGTGGTACTGGAGTTGGGAATGTGGTGCCAGGGTGGGAATGTATGTGGTACTGGGGATGGGAATGTGGTGCTGGGATGGGAATGTGGTGCTGGAGTTGGGAACTTGATGCCTGGGCATGGACACACGGTGCCAGGATGGGAATGTGGTGTTGGGGATGGGAATGTGGTGCTGGGGTGGGAACGTGGTGCTGGAGTGGGAATGTGGGTTTGGGGTTGGGAAAATGGTGCCGGGGTTGGGAAAATGGTGCCAGGGTGGGAACGAGGTGTTGGGGTGGGAATGTGGTGCCAGATTGGGAATGTGGTGTTGGGGATGGGAACGTGGTGCTGGGATGGGAACATGGTGCTGGGGTGGGAATGTGGTGCTGGGGTGGGAATATGGTGCTGGGTTGGGAATGTGGTGTTTGGGTTGGGAATGTGGTACCAGGGGCTGGAAACATGGTGCCAGGGGATGGGAAAGTGGTGCTGGGGTGGGAGAGTGATGCTTGGGGATGGGAATGTGGTACTGGAGTTGGGAATGTGGTGCCAGGGTGGGAATGTGGTGCCAGATTGGGAATATGATGCCAGGGTGGGAATGTGGTGCTGGGGTGGGAATGTGGGTTTGGGTTTGGGAAAGTGGTACTGGGATCGGAATATGGTACTGGGGTTGGGAATGTGGTACCGAGGATGGGAACGTGATGCCTGGGCATGGAAACATGGTGCTGGGATGGGAACGTGGTGTTGGGGTGGGAATGTGGTGCCAGATTGGGAACATGATGACAGGGTGGGAACGTGGTGGTGGGGTGGGAATGTGGGTTTGGGTTTGGGAAAGTGATGCCGGGGTTGGGAAAATGGTGCTGGGTTGGGAATGTGGTGTTTGGGTTGGGAATGTGGTACTGGGGCGGGAATGTGGTGCTGGGGTGGGAATGTGGTGCTGGGATGGGAATGTGGTGCTGGAGTTGGGAACTTGATGCCTGGGCATGGACACACGGTGCCAGGATGGGAATGTGGTGTTGGGGATGGGAATGTGGTGCTGGGGTGGGAACGTGGTGCTGGAGTGGGAATGTGGGTTTGGGGTTGGGAAATTAGTGCCGGGGGTTGGGAAAATGGTGCCGGGGTGGGAATGTGGTGCCTGGGGATGGTTGGGAATATGGTGCTGGGTTGGGAATGTGGTGTTTGGGTTGGGAATGTGGTACCAGGGGCTGGAAACATGGTGCCAGGGGATGGGAAAGTGGTGCTGGGGTGGGAGAGTGATGCTTGGGGATGGGAATGTGGTACTGGAGTTGGGAATGTGGTGCCAGGGTGGGAATGTGGT